GTATCAAACAGTCCTGTAGTTTTTGACATTTCATGACACAGTGAGGAGAGCAATCCACCTGGTGATCAAGCAGTAAAAGACCATAGGGCTCAACGTAGCAGATGCCATTGGCAGGCAGTTAATTAATAAATTAACTCTGTTAATTTATTGTCAGCCATGAACAGAGTTAAGATCAATGAATGACATGTACTTAATGTCATTCATCTACACTTACTAAGTCAAAAGTTTCTTAACCTTCCTCCTTCAATTAATTTTCCTTCATGATGACTGTCTGATTATGAGTCAATCATACCATGGGGCTTAGTGCGAATAGTGATAAGTAAATGAAAAGACTGTTTTTAGCAAACAAATTTATATCTAGTATATTGTGCCATAGATACTTATACCTACTAATAAAGACAGAAATACTCTGATTTTCTACAAAGGGTTCTTAACCTGAATTTAGAGATTCCACCAACTTCTAACAATTTTACTAATAACAGTAAATATGGTTTATGGATTTCTAATAAAGCTTAGTTACTTTTTTCTCTTCAAATAAGTTGAACATGACCATTTTTATGCTTACAACAAAGAAATTTTCTGTTCCTCTGGTTATTATAAATGCCATCAATATTTTTTTTTAACAGTCTTGTTAAATACCAAGCAGTGCTACACTCTCTTACCCTTTCACAGAAAATCAGGTTAAAAGCAGTTAGCTATCAATTTTCAGTGACAATTGCACTCTCCCCTGCATACCCCCAAAAAAATATTAGAGAATGCACTCAATGGCCTAGCTCTTTCAATCACCTTTATGACATTTGACATCCCAGAAGCCAACAAGGTTTAAACTTTGTGTTGCTTTCCCTCTAAATCAGCAGCAAATCTCTTGCTCTCAAGTGTTCAGAAGCAAGTTCTGGAGTTGTGACCCTCATACAGACAACAAGGCAAAAATGTCTTGTTCCATTCCCTTCATCAGGAATCAGGTTAAAACTTAGAAAATTTTGGATCAGAGCAGTACAGTTAATAATGGAGACTGCAAGTCAAAAATGTGTATTCGTCCTATCGAGGTTTTTGTTGAGAAAGAGTGGCTGAAAGCCACTGAAAACTAGCAGACGCACACACAGGCACTCTGGAATCTGACAATATTTTCTACAAAACTACCGATTTAATTTATAGTCTGTAAAGAATGACGTCTTGCAGTAGTTGCTTGATAACTTTTTTTTTTTTTTTTTAGTTTTTCAGGTTTGAAGCAGTATGTAGGCACTAAAAATACCATGAAAATTTTATACTTAGTTTACAAAATGGTGTAAGTTGCCTAGTATTCAGATGCAGTGCACAAATACAAAAATGGTCTTTATGATAAGCTGTCCTGTACCTCCTGCCATATCATGGCAGGAGCAGGAATCTAATTACTGCACCAAATAAAGGGCATTAAAAGATCCACTGCTGACAATCAGCTGTCCTGGAAAGTCACTCCTAATAATTTTTTTCTGAAGACTAATTTTTCCCTGTTGGGCAAAACCTCCAGTAAATATTTCTGATGCTAAAATCTTTTGCAATGTGCTCCATACTGGTGGACAACAGATTAGCTAATTTTTTAGTACAGCTAAATAAAGTATAGGAAGATACCAAAGTATTATCATAAATTTACAGTATTTGCCATTTTGTAGGATAGTTGGAAGGAAGAACTAAATTTCTTTGTGACGTTGCATAACTAAGACATTAACTTTCCAAACACGCAGTAGAGGAGGGATATATTTTAGCCAGGCTGAGGTTTAGTGAAAGCATTCCAGAGAGACAGGTTAACAGGAGGAAAACCATCCTAGAACAGAAAAAATTGAGGTTAGTCCTTGTTCTCTGCTTACTTCTCTTTGTCAAGATTTTGTTCTGCCTTGAAGAGAGAAAATTTTTCCATGTGAGCCAGTTTTACATCATAAACTTTTACAGGGAAACTGAAGACTTTCTCATTTTCCTATGCCATATATAGGCCACGGATTGAATTTGTACTCAAAAGCTGTACTTTCAGTGCTCATGCAGGTTTGTGCTAAATGTGCATTCAAGCTTTAGGCAGCTCATATTTTGCTAACTAAGCAGATCTCTTGTTCCTTAAATGCCCTCTCTAGCTTGGAAGCAGCACAGAAACCTGACAATCAGGTAGCTTGCCTAAGACTTTTCTTTGTGAGGGAGGCTTGTAAAAGAAATACTCTGGTAGAGCTTTGTGCCCTTGCCTGCCCTTTCCCTTCTGTCCAGTAAGAGATGATGCACACCGGTATGTATTTTATAGAGTGGGGCTCTGTGGTGCCACTGGCAGAAGGGAAGATCTTCACTGCAAACAGACCCTGTTCATTCTGCCCCACATTCATATGTATCAACATCCAGAGCAATGCAACCTTCCGGCAGCCTGGGGTGGGAAAATACCCAGCTGCACCTCTGCTGGCCTGTGTGGGACTGACCTGGCTTTAGTTCTGCAGGATTCTCTGCTGGGACCACGTGTGAATAATATTATGAGGTGAGGCATGCCTGAGATTTTGGAAGTCTGTCTTGCCTGGCACACCTGAACAATGCCATTTAAAGCAGAAATCTAACAAAACCCTCGTTAAGGGTGGTAACTGCCATGTTAGTTTTTGGCAGAGATAGTCAGGGAAATCCCACACAAGAATCCTCTACGGTGAATTATAGCATGACAATTCAGTACTGGGCTTCTGATCAGGAAAATCTCCTGGTGGTTTTGGTGGGATAGAGCCTAGGTAGAAGCTGTAGAAAAGGACATTTTCTTTCTCAGTGAGGTACATATCTGCAATCTATACATGAAAAATCTCAATTCTTTGGACAGGTAAAGAAAGACTGAAGACAGGCTATACCCATACTTTTATTTGAAATAAATTCAGTTTTGGAAAGAATCAGCAATTTGAAAAGTATGTTTTCAAAGTCTGAATACCCATCCTGTTGGGATACGGTGCAAGAACTATGTATTCCCAGATCTGTAATATGTACTGAGTGAGTGAAAGTTGCGGCAAGTCATGACTCTAAAATTCTACAGATGCTTCCACTGTTTTTAAGGAAAAAATGAAAGGTGTATTCACAATAAGGATGCTCTCACTGAGGACTGACATCTTCAACCTTTGAAAATTATTGAGAAGTCATATTCTTTGTAAATACAAGCGCAATTTGACTTATTAAATAAATGGGTCTGGATTCTGAACCCATGCTACTATGAGCAGAATCAGGAAAAATCTCATGCAAAATCCCTGATATAAATATTATATTTATATTATAATATAAATTATTATTTATATTTATATTATAATATAAAAATATTATAATTTTTATAGCTTGCCCTTTCCTGTGTTGCAGTAATTATACTATGATTTTTAAGTTATAGTACAAGTTCCTAATTTTGAGACATTAATTAGCTAGTTCTCCATGCACACAGGATTAAGATATTGCTGAGAAGCAGTCACAAAGCCAAAGGCAGGGCTTTGCTGTCAGACTCTGGGAGCAAGCCTGCTGTACATGTTTTGTTCCACAGTTTGCTGCCCAGGAGCCTGTGGAAACAGGGCTCAGGATTAATCTGTAGCAGAACTGCATGTTAATGCAAATTATTTCCTCAGGCCATATTTTGCAGGTCATCATGTATCCTAATAAACATATACTCTGTAAGACACACACATAGAAGAGAAACATCTTCGTTTCTGTCTTCAACAAAAGCATTAACACAATAAATGAATATTTCATAAAAGCAATCAAAACAAATCCATTTCTAAAAAGCAAACAAAATATATTTTAAATGACACCAAATTTTTAAAATTATTGCATCAGCTGTAAGAAGCTAGCTACTCAACTGGTCAGTCACAGCAAGCATGAAAACTGAATTTTTTCCTTGCTGCTGTGACAAGTCCTGGGTGCCACCAGCCATCCACAGGGCAGTGCTCCTCCAGATGGGCATAGAGCCCTTTTATGTCACAACTCAGCTTCCTGGGTTGGCTACCTGCCAGTTGGCAGCTGGCTTAGAGGAACCATAGTCCTTCATATCCCTGCTATTTTGTTTTAAAGGTAGCATCTCAGAGATCACACAATATTCTGAGCTGGAAGGGACCCACAAGGATCATAAAGCCCAGCCCTTAACATATTTGTTGTGGCATTGAACCCACAGCCCTGGTGTTTAAAGCACCATACTCTAAACAGCTGATCAAATCTCAAGGTCCACACACCTTCCCTGGGGATTCACACAGATTCATAGAGAGACCCTGAAAGGGAGCATAAGCTTCCTTTCTGCAGTGACAGTTCAAACACCTTCAGTAGACATCACTTCTAACCTAGAAAGGTGTTAGAAACTGCTTTAAAAATAAACAGTGGAAGGAAACTTTGGACTTTGCCGTTGGATTTTTCACCAAGAAACCCCAAAACCCAAACAAGCCCACAAAAAAAACCAAACCAAGCAAACAAACAAATGAAAAAACCACACAAAAAACTGCACACCACTAAAAGTGGAGAAAACCTCTTAATTTATGTTTGTCCATAAACCTTAGCAATCCTGTTACACAGTGCTTTCAGGAAAAAGGTTCTGATCTGTTTCAGATGAGTGAAATTCTGAGAGTCTATGATGGACAAAAGCTATTTTTTAAGGCACGTTTTTCTTTCTACTGTGTTTTGGTTGGTTTTTTGTTGTTGTTTTTTGGGGTTTTTTTGGGGTTTTTTTTGTGAATAAATATGAGACCTAAAGGATTAAATTTCCAAGTAATAAAAATCAGCACTGCTCCGTTGATCTGAATAGGGCTGTGCTGTTTTTTGCCCTGGGGATTAGCTTCACCAAAGGCTTTGTAAGCTTTTTTAAGTTAAAGAGACAGGCTCGTTCTCTGTTTTAGTGCTGAAAGAAATGGAGAGTTGTGAGCGCAGATTAATGTAATCTACAGCTTTAAATGATAAACCACAGGATGTTTGGAGGCTTTAGGGACTAATTGTGAAAATCTACTACGTTGGTTGAGAAAACCAGAACATTACCGCTTCTACGCACATATACCTATACATATACATATATATATTCCACAATTATTCAGTAGGTGGCAGTTAAAAGCCTAGATGAGCTTTGCAGTCGCCATTTAGGCAGTAGCACCGGCAGGGGCTGGAGCCAGTCCGTCCGTAAGAGCAGAGCGGGGAGGGCTGCGATCCAGGCAGGAGCAGTACCCAGGAGCCAGGTACCGGGGAGCGGCGGGCGGGCAGCGGGGCACGGGCAGCGGGGCACACCGGGAGCAGGGGGAAGCTGCAGCCCCCTGGCTTAAGGGGCTCCTTTCTGCAGAGAGCCCAGGGCAGAGAGGGGGAAGAGCTGGTGCAATGACGGGCAGAAACTGAAGAGCGTTTGAAGCTTTCTGTTCCTCTACAGGTAAATTTCTTCCCGTTGTTTTTCTACGCTGCCTTGCACAATAGGCAAAGCTTTGCGTTGAATTTAGAGGTCTTCATTTTCTTCAGCCAGAACGCACAGTGCTCACTTGGGCAGAATTTCCTCTGAAGTCGATAGAGTTTTGCCTGAGTTACGACTGCAAGATATGCTCTAAGCTAAGATCTTGTGTAGAGAACATGACATGCTGTAAACTGGGGCTAGCAAGGATGCCAGATGCTGGTCATAGACACACTGACTAGTTAACTATAATTTTTCTGTGTGCTGGGATGCTGGTAATGACCTTTTTTTTTCAAGCTGTCTTTCATTAAAACTCAATGTGCTGAATTTTGCCCTAGTTTATAGCACTGCCACTGCAGTGGCTTAAGGAGAGATTAATTTTTCATTTCTTTTAAATGAAAGCTACATTTCAACTTAACTGATAGAAGAATACAGAAATGTGGAGTCTGAATAAAATAACACAAGGTGTTTGTTGCTCTAAGACAGATACAACTTTGCAGCATCCCACTGACAGGCAGGATTTTTTTTCTTTTTTTCCTTAGATTGTCCCTCTCCCAACTGAATGAAAGAAAATAAATCATGAAAGACCATTCTCAAGTGCCTGTGAGCTGATGAATTCAGATTTGATGGCACTTTATTCCTTGCTATCTTCCTCATGAAATGTGGAATGCTCTGTATGCTGCACCACTCAGAAGGGTGAGCACAGAATGGAGCAACAAAACTGGATGCATTTTAATTTCAAAGAATTTTCTGAATATCCTGTTCTCATGAGTACCTAGTAATTGAACTTACATATGCCTGTTTATAAATGCACAAACATACAGCTGTGTATGCTGTGTACAGCTAGGTATACCCCTGCTCCTTTCAAGGTAAACCAAGCTGATGATTGCTGTTGTATCTTTGCCAAGCTTTACAGTTTACCATTATCTAGAATGTTTGCGGGTCTCAACATATTTAATTCAGGCTTAGAAGGCTATCCTGGCTTGCCACTCTCCCCTTCCCTTTTTCTGACTAATGGACTTCAGTTATGTTCAGGAGCTGCTCTCTGGGGCCCTTCTATCCTTACTAAATGCAGTACTGCCCAGTTCATGCAGAATGGGTTTTGTGCCATTGTTCTGGAGCTATGAAATACGATATTCCTCCAGGCTTTGTGCTCTCTCTCATACCACACACATTTCTGAGGCTATTGCAAGAAGAACTGTACAAACATGGAACAAGTTCAAGCACACAGCTGCTAATCAATGGTCCTGTGGATCTGGAAGAATGATTATGATGTTCAGCTATTTATCTTTATTCCTGGTAAGAGAGAGGAATGAATTGGTATAAATGAACTGTGAATACACTTAGGCTGGAAGATTTCAAACCATTAGAGCAGCAAGGTTCTTCAATTACATTCTACTTGAAATAATACATAGAAAATGTTTTAAGTGCCTTTTAGTTGTAACTTGATGGAAGGGATTATGTGAAATGGTTGCCTGCAAACGCAAAGCACTGGATTTGATAATCCAGAAAGTCTCTTTCAGTACTAAGTGCCATTTTTACTTTCCTCTGGAAGTTGCCTGCACTAAAGAGTCCCTTTGCAAGTGAGTAAAGATCTTCGTAAATACAGTTTTTCCACGTATCTCACATCAATCAGATGAAAGCATATTTCTGCTCTGTGCTGCACTATTGTTTACACCAGCAGACTCACAAACCCTGATGAACCTCAGGCTGAATAATATCCCTTTCTCACAGCGCAGAGCAGAGCTCTTTGGAAGTTGATTGGACTTCAGAGGCTCCTTCTGGCCAAGTGGTCATGATTATATTACACCAGCACTGCAGTCTCTGTAGTACCAATAAAAATAGCGGACTATATATAAACTGATACTGCTGTTCCTGAAGTCATTACTAGCACTGTTTCTAGTTTCCTTTGAGGATAACCTGACAACTTTTTTTCTGTCTTTCTCTTGTGCTAACCAACACAGCTGCCCATGTAGAGATCCAGCATCATGTGTAAAAAAAGACTTGAACTTTCTTTGAGACAGAATATGTGATATTGATCCCAAAATTAGATTTTTAAAATAAATAATATTCTGGTTCAAAGATGCTCCCACAGAAAGACTGCATTAAATTCTACATATTCCCTTTTTCTCTCTTTTATGTTTATAGAATTATCTTTTTTCTTCTTTTGTTTTTTTTATGGTTTTGATTTTTTTCTACATTGGATTGCATTCAATTCACAGTGTTCCTTGGTAATTCTTCTGTAATACATAATAAGCATTTGAATGTTCCCTCTCCCACTCTTTAAGTGAGTATCAGGACATTTGTACACGCAAGCTGAAACACTGTTCACTGTGGGACATTTCGTTTGATACCTAGACTGATTCCAAAAGTTTGTTAATTTCCCCTTAATATTTAATATTTAATATTACCAGGACTAATTGAGCAATAATAAATATTAAATAGAGGAGGAAAAATGGAAATTTTGTAAAACATGGATGGGTATTACCAATACTAATTTCCCTTTAAAATGAGCAATTTCCAAAAATGTACCAGGAGAAAATAATTCTGGAAAATTTATTTTCCATTTGTTATTTTAACTTTAAATACAAATATTTCTGAGTATCAGCAAACAGATACTTTCACTGCATTCTTATCGTGACATTAAAATTAAAACAGACATTAAATTATCTTACCTTACTGCTGGAAAAGCAGTGAAAAAGACCCCCTGAGTGTCACTGCAGCTGTACATACTAATTGAAGCAGAACATACTCTAATTTACCTTTTTGAGAACCCAAATATTGATTACTTTTCAACCACAAAGTATTGACAACCGAGTAATTCTTGAGATGGGTATCAAAGAAAGACAAGAGCAAAATGTGAAAAAGTGTGTGTCAAGTCTGTGACAAAAGCACTTTTGACACACTGGGGTCAGAAGCACCTCCTCTTGACAAATTAATGTTAAGCTGAATGTTAAGCTTCTCTGTCTAAGATTAAAATTAGTCTCTCTGGCTATGCAGGTCTGCAATATGCTATGGCAGGAAAATCCAGTCAGCATCAGCCTGACTGCAGGTAATGACATTGGTTTTAGTTGAATTTGAAAAGGTGTCTGAAAAGTGAAGCTATGTCAACCTTTCAGTTTCCTCATTCAAAATATGTATATATTAAAGAAACCACATGAAAAGGGAAAATCCATTCCTAGACTGAAGTTGTTTCCTTCCCAAAATACCCAGTAGTTCTTACTTAATCTGAAGCAAAGATCACTTGTCCTTTTTTACTGATACTTGTATATTTTTTATTCTTCCCTGAAAATTTAAACTGACAACTTTTATCTCTTCTGAAAGATTTAATTATTTAAATCATCAAATATTAGCTACTATCACTAGCTAAAGTATTGTAGTTAACACAAATAAATAACATTATCATGAATCTAGAAATAAACTACTCTTATGGCTAAACATACCTGTCTTACTTCAGAATTTAAAGTATTGCAAGTTGGGGTACTGAACATTTATAAACTATCAGAAAGCTGCTGTTACTATATTGTTCTTCACAGTTATAATTTAATTGCTGGTTTTCAAAATATTCTGATCTGCAGAAAAATTCCAGTGGAAGAACAGGCTTCTTCCTAGTGCCTGGAAGCATATCAACAACCATATTACATTGTTTAATTAATTATCAGAGATCATTTTGGGTCCTGAAACCCACTGCATTCAGCTATTCCCAAAGTATTGGCCAACAAACCGGTGGCAAAATGTTCTGTTTAAGTCATTGTTTTGAATTAGATATTTCTTGGGCTGTGTGAGGGCATCAGAAATATTCCAGTGGTCAGGATAGCAGTCTAGCTGTCCTTCCCAGCCAGTCAAGGAAAATTAATGACAGGAATTGTAGCATAAAAAGAAGTCACAGGCACTTAACCTTTAATAGTTTTGCTTCTTCAGAAGATTTACATAAGTAGTCTCAAATTAACATTATGGAATTGAGAATTACAGTGAAAGGCAAAATGGCCACCAGTCTTCCGAGTTTCCTCAGCTGAATGGAAAAGAGGCTTTTGAGAATGTAATATTCTTCTGTGTAAATATACATATTTATATGGAAATAGTTTGTTGTCTATGCTGGGATTTTTGTCTCACAATACTGGGATTTATGAATTTCACAATATATAGAATCACTGACAACTTCTAAAGTAAAATGACTGCTTGTGAAATGTTCTTTCTTGCCTTGGGGTTGGTTTTATTTTTTGAGCACTTAGTACTTTTCCATTCAGGAAAACTTAAAAAACCATACCATTATCCATAAGGCAGAACCTATTTTTTGCAGTGTACAGCTGGGGAAGCAGAAGTTCACTACAATATGTAAAGTCATTGCTCAATACCAAGAAATGATTCTACTATTAGAAACCAGAGGGAATGAAAATTCATACCGAGTCTCTGATCCTGCATTTGCAGGAGTGACAAATTCTGGTTTATAATCATACTGCTCTGTCCAATGGCTTTATGTCTTACTCGTTGAAAGGCACACATACAATGTTCATGTATGAGCACTGAACTTTGAAAGGCACATGTACAATGTAGATCTTTCCATCTTTACTTGGTTAAGTTAAACCTATTGAAAATTGAGGAAAAACTGCTGTATTTGGTTAGTTAAGCTGGGAAGAAAACTTAAAAAAATTAGTTCCAAAGGGAGCTGAATACAATGCTGCTATTTTGACATTTTTATTTCTATGTGTGCATTAATGACTACCTAACTACACATATGGAAAGTCTTCCGAGTAATTTCTATGAGTTTTGATGATAAGCATTTAGAGGTTAAGACACTGG